ATTCCAGAGAGAGGGACCAGCAACAGAAAAGGCTCGATCCCCTCTGAGCCTTCTAATAATGTCTGGTCCGCAGACCTGAGGCGCCGGGCAGGTGTGTGGGGGCAGATGAGCTCAGAGAGGTAAAGTGGCGCGAGGTCATTTAGAGATTTGAAAACAAATAAGAGGATCTTGAAAATAACTCTAAAATGTATGGGGAGCCAGTGAAGGGATGCCAGAGTAGGAGTTATGTGCTCCCTCTTACGAGTACCGGTCAAGAGGCGAGCAGCGGCATTCTGGACCAGCTGGAGACGCTTAATGGAGGTCTGGGTGACTCCAAAGTAAAGGGCATTGCAGTATCTCCACATTTTAACCAAAAAGCCAAGATTTGTTAGGGTTGTGGGTGTGCTGGAGACCATCCCAGACAACTTAAAGAAAAAGTGTTTACCCCAACTCTGGACTGGTTACCAGCTAATCATGGGTTAATTAAACAACCATTGATATTGACAACTATACAATACATATTTATTGATATCGCACTTTCAGAGCAGCTGCGCCTGGAACAAAGCGCTTTACAGAACATTAAACATAAAATAATAATAATAAAACAGAACACATAATGTAAAACATTGACAATAAGATAATCGTAACAACTCTTTTACCCGAGTAAATCTAAGCAAACTTGGGGCGAACAAGCTAACTCCACACCAAGATGTTCCATCAGAAATTTGAATCAAGATATCCTGACAGTGAAGTCGACTGCCAGCCGTAAAGTCACTGTGCAGCATTACATGTTGTCATTGTTTTTGTTACCATTCCCTGCTAATTGGCTGTGTCCCATTTACTGTCTTATCAGTGAGGCCTGTGGTCTCCATTCCTATTCAACCAAATACGACTCTTTGCCTTACAGTAAAGAAAGAAAATCGAATATGATAACATTGTATTTACTTTTTTTAAACCGTTGTTACATGTGTTTGGGTGCGTGAATGTACCTTGAGCTCACAGTCTTGGTTAATGGCAAGATTTCCTGGTTTAAGGTCCTGAAAAGTTCACATGAGCAGTCAGCGTCATTACACAAAGTAAACAAGAGAGCGATAAATTAACTGCAAGTTAGCTCATAAAAAGCCACCTGGTTTTGAATAGATTACACACATGGTGGAAGTTGATACAATAAAGGTAAACTTACCCTGTGAATGATACCAGCAGAATGAATATACTGTAATAGAAGATGCATATGTGGGCCTTACTCAACAGAACAATGGGATCCACAGGTCATAAATGGCATACAACAGCAGGTCAAATGAGAGTTCTTCACCTTGAGCCCTTTGAGGATCTGATAAACCAAGTATTGGATTTTTTCTTCAGACAGCCTCTGCAGCTTCATCACTTTGCCCAGGTCTGTGCCCATGAACGGCATCACAAGGTAACTTGAGGGGTAAGGACCATTGGAAGCGTGAGAAGTAATGTGGTTGAAAAGTCATGTATTGCATATCAGCAGCACCACAATTCTCACTTACAAATCATTGAATTTGTCCAAAGAGAGATCAGCGGTAAACACATCCAAGAGACCGATCACCTGCAACGGAGGGAACATGCAGTATTATTAAAACATTTGACGCTGCAGTATAAAAAAAAGAAATACAGTAGTGGCGCTCACATTTTCATGCTTCATGTGTTTGAGGAGCCTCAACTCGCGGTAGGCTCGTTTAGCAAACAGCTCAGACTGGAAAGGTCGATACAGCTTCTTGATGGCCACTTTGGTTCTGGTTCTGACGTCCACTGCTGAGCTAAAATATATTTTTTTTAAAAAGAGGAGAAAAGTTACAAAATGTTTATATCCTCCATTTTCTAATCTGTTTATCTTCACAGGAGCCTGTCCCAGCGGTCTTGGGCATAGACCCTGAACTGGACGCCAACCAATCTAAGGGCACACATAGATGAACAACCATCCGCACTCACACTCACACCTAGGGATAATTGAGAGTGTTCCATTAACCTGCCATGCATGTTTTTAGAATGTGGGAGGAAACCGGAATACCGTACCCAGACAAAACCCACGCAGGCATGGAGAAAATTCCACATAGGAAGGCCGTAGCCATAATCGAAGCCTGCATGCACCTCTGCACTGTGGAGCCGACGTGATAACCAGTCGTCCACCGTGCCGCCCTATGTATATGATATATTTTTTAAATGGTTTAATTTGTACTGGCACACTGCATTTGAGCAAGTTAACAATCTGTCAGTCAATTAATACACTTCTCTGTGTCCATTGCTTGATGTGAAGATACTCTTCTGGCAGGCACAACATGAGATACACTTGAGAAATATCAAATAATAGCGCCTTATATCAAAGGGGCATAACATTCATTTGATGGTGTGGTTTATTGTGCAGTGGGTGCACCAGGCAAAGTTGTATCAAAAATAATATTTTGGTTTGCTGTGCAGGTGCTGGTGAGTTACAAAAGCTTAAATGGAGTCAGGTCATTAGTGAAAATGTCTTAGTGTCTGTAGTATGTTTATAATTTACAGTAAATGCTCATTTGCATGGCATAGGTAGGTAATTTTCACATTCACCGTACAGTATTTACGGCCAACAGACGGTGCAAATATTTTCATGTGTAGAGCATACATTTAATTTCCTGTGGCATAATACACCGCAAATTCTGCCTTTACAAATACAGTACTGCTCAGTTTTGATTGACACCGTCAGTGAGGTACAATAGTTTTAATCGTTTTGGTTGACTGTAGTTTGCATTGGAGTGCAACTATGGATACGTTGCATCATATAAGGAGTTCTATTTTGTAATACCCATCAAGGATGCTGTATTTGAAACGAAACAATCCATTCATCCATCCATTTTCATTTCTACATACAACCGCATTATTTATATTACATGTAATATTATTTTTGTTTGGATTTTGTCAGACAATCAACACAGGTAGTAAAATAGTAAAAATATGGTGGTTGGATACCAAATGTCACTCTTTTTTTATGTGCAGCTCTTTTATTTGTCTCATTAAATTGTGCGAGTGTACCTAATGTTGAGTGGAAACTGACTTTCATTAACAGAATCGACTCGACGTTATTGGGCAGGGGTGGCCAACCAGTCAGAGACTAAGAGACAGTTTTTTTTTTACTGTGTTACTGCAAAGAGCCACATCATACACATGGGCACACATAATCATTACAGTATACAAGGGGTATTTGTGCAGTTTTAATGATATTCAACAGATCGGGCACCTAATGAAGTGGGCAGACAAAAAGCGTCTCTCTTGAGACTCGTGTCTTTGTATGTGATGAATGGCTGCACAAGACACATAATTCCTCACTGCTACAACTGGAGGGTCTTTTCGGGCTGCGACCAAATAGCAAACAACTTTTGCTATGTTGTTCATGTGTTATTGGGTGTTTTTGAGGCACAGCAGCACGCGGGCTGGACCCTCCCACTGAGTAAATCATTATGCACACCACTGAGGGCAAATCAGTAAGACTCTCAATGTTGCCTTGGATTGTTGTGCAGCCTACAAGTCTGGAGGACCACGAATAAGCCTATATAAAACCTTGCGGCCAGCGTAATCTTTATTTCCTTTCAAATGTAATACGGAGATGAAAGAGCAGCGTGTCAAGATGAAACGCTCATCTCCTTTGTTAAACGTGCCACAACATGGTTGCTGGAGCGGTATGACATCTGTTCCTCCCGACAACTGCCATGTCGTCGCCGTCGCACGCCCGCGAACGCACACAAAAGTCTGAATGAAATTGACAAGATTTGTTACAAATATACTCACCACACAGTTCCGTATGCTCCGGTCCCCACCTGCTTCAGATCACGGTACCTATCCGGTACCTCCCATGAGGTTTTGTTGATTTCCTGCCGATAGTAGCCCGGTCTGACTCGTCGAGACATTCTTGTTGTGTGAAAGTGAAAACCACGAGAGGCGTCTTATTCTTCTCTTTCGTAGTTTAATCTCTTTGAGAGCTACACGTCCATTGTTCCAGCTCGTGCGCGTCGATCATTGCGCCTGTGTTGGTTGTGGATGCGCGTGCGTCGGGCTATCTGCTGGGCGCACCCTAAGGTCGCACAAAGCCACTCCCAACTCCAGTTTGGACGTCTGCCATGAAAGGTGAGACACCTGGAATGCGTTTAACACGACACTACGTGCAGAAAAATACGCTCGTTCAACTGGAAGGAAGATGCAAGCGCTGCGCAAAAAGCAGCCCAAAATCCCCAGAGTTGAGATGACGGCCAGAGTGACTGTCAATGCAGCTTCGTGGAAGCAAGTTCCGAAGGTTTAGAACTTACTGAGACATTATTACGTCGTCTTCTGAACATACGAGAAAAAAATTCAGCTTGCATAAGTTCAGCCTACGTGGCCTTACTGCAAATAGAAATGTTTATGTTGGTAAAAGGACCATTCATTTCCAGCGCTGCTGCCGTTATGTAACAACTGTGAAGAGGCACAGTTGTGCTGCGTAAATGAGGGCATCTGAGATTAAGATAGGATTTCATGCAAGCACAGAAGAAAATGTGCCACTTGAGTTCTTTATTTTGGGGGGAGGATTTTGCATTGTATGAACTTTTAATAGCTATTAGTAAACTTGACTAATTCATACCTTTCAAAAGTACAACTTTGGAAAATCTCAGTAAAACTTTCTTTCCAAGCAAATTGAGGTAAATAAATGAAAATTGACAGACTCCTTTCAATCCTGTCACATTTATGGCACAACGTATTATTTAATCCCACCGATCATCATCCTTGTGATCAACCTTCAAATTGTATCAGGGAAAGAAATGATGTGACAAAATGGCAATATTTGAATACTGAAGCAACTTTCACATGAAAGCATTTAAACACCAATTGGCCACAACATTAGATACACCTGCACTGTCTAATATGATCCAATACAAGAACTGTAAAAAAAAAAAAAAAAAAAAAAAACAAGAATCAGTAGTTTTGCTTGACACATGTTTATTATTGTGGCTTTAGTGGCATAATGCAAACATTTTAATATCGCAGCGCTTATTTAGATAACTACTCTGTATGGCAGAGTACAGTTCTACGCCACTGCAAACATATCAGTATGATAAAAATGAACCACAAAGAGTGGTGCCTTGAGATACAGGTGACCCAATTTACGAGTTTTATGAGCCAATGTCGGACCGATTTTTTTGCTTTTATTGGCGAGAAAAAAATTGAGATACGAGCACTGTATAGTAGCAATGAACTTGACTAAAGTCACGCCATACCAAGCAGCAGTTTGGCTGATCGTGAACACATCTTCAAAAAAGATGGCTGAGGCTGCGCATTGGCACTGCAGCTTGAAGCTTGCAGTCAAACTAAACATGAAACGAAGAGAATTACACATTGTGCGTTGAAATCAACCGCTTAACTTTGCCCTAAAGTCCACAAGCTTAATGCGAGCACATAATAGGCAACATCACAGACAGGCTAACGAATAGCATGTGTGTTGACGGATATTCAAAAACAAAAGGTGGAGCAACACATCCAGACAGATACGACGATACCGACATACATTTATAATATTTATCCTCTGCAAAGAATGACTAATATTTCTATGGCTTATGGAGGAGATGAGGCCATCTCCATGGACACTATGTCCATACGGCCGTATTACACTGCCGCCAGATAGCCAGCCAGGGCACAAGGAGCAGCACAATGCCCACTATATTGAAGGAAAAAAAAAAAGTAGCATAACCAGGTTGATTTCTTTACGTTCTATGTAATTACCTGTATGTCAGTATTGTTTGTTTTTATACATTTCTGGATTATAGAGTGATTGATTTCTAATTTCAAATAAATTACATATTTGTTATGTATTGTGGGAAGTTGGAAAAAATGGATAGCATTTCGATTCACTTCGATGGGGAACTTTTTTTTAACAGTATTGTGAGTTATGGCCACAGAACAAATTGAGCTTATACCTCAAGGCGCCATTCAGTTCATAGCTCTCTAACAATGCCAAATGTATACTGGATCATGATGGTGATGATGTTGATGGTGGTCATGATGTTGTGGATGGTCAATGTAGGTTTAATCACTCGCTCTTAACAATAAAACTGACCTAATGCATTCTATTTGGTATATTTTCAGGCATCGCCTCCATAGTTTATCAGCCTCAGACAGGTCCTTGTAAGACTTTCCGTCTGAGCCGTCATTAACAGCCACCAGGCACCAAACAGACAGGGAACATGATGGGGTGATGCGCACATATATATATCTCTTTTTTCTTAATTTGTGCAGGACCACGTCATATTTTTAGGTCCTTGCATGGTCATGACAGTAATGACACATTCGTGGCACCAAACCCAACTTTTTCCCTGACTACCCTGTGTCACTGATGTTCTGAATGGAGTGATCTCTGAATCTCCGACCCGCTTCCCTGACACCAGCCTGCCACACAGTGATAGAGTTGTGCAAATAATCAGGAGGCATACTAAAATGTGGAAAAAAAAGGAAGCGGATGCTAATACTTCCCTCACATTTGGGCAGGCCAGATGATGAAGTTCAGGGAAGTTATTACGATGATCATGTGACACAGATTGCCTGAGACCAAGCTGGAGGTTTGCTGTCATACGGTACAGGATTTCGAACTGTTGAGGCAGATGCCACCTCTTCCTGTTGCTCTTCACCATCGTCTCTCTCCCCCTGTTGGGTGGCACCACCTTGGCCCACCCAAGCAGGAACCTCCAGACCTGGCTGGGAGGAGAATGGCTTCTCCAGAACTTTGAGCACTCGCCGAACCTAAAGTACAGTATAGCCAGATATTACACATCATGGAAGTATACACTGCAGCTTGAGAGGAAGTGAAGGTGAGACTTTTCCACACTATATGGACATATGTCGGCAACATTCAATTTCCAATAACGTGCACGACAGGGTAATTGAGGAAGTTGTCCACAGACGTGAATGTGGGTGTGTATGTTTGTTTGTCTACATGTGTCCTGCACTAGTTTGGGAATGATCATGATTTAAAAAACACAAAACTTGAAAATACATTTTAAAATGTCAAAGTTGGGATTCAACCATTAAAAGTTCCAGTCGATATATTGCAAGAACAAATAAGACTAAAAAGTAGAATTTTTCAGAAAAATGGCTTTCTTTCCAGCACAGCGGAAGCTGTCATAGCTGGAGAGGAAAAATAAGACGTCCTGCAGGTATAACGGCTCGATGTCTCATTTTGCCCATTTTTTATGCTGTATACTCATGCACCATTTCACAAAATACACCTCTCACATTTTTATAAATATGATATAATACTGTATCTTTTAATGGGACAACACTGAAATCCTCCACTCATCCATGATGACATCGTCAGAAATAAATAGGCTATTCTTGGACTCGTCAGACCACAGCACACTGTTCCAATAATTCATATTTTTGTAAGTAATACCAACAAAAATGCATGCCTTTGGAGATAGTGTACAAACCACAAGCATCAGTTGATCATACCTCAGAGAAGTCACCACTCTCAGCAGCCTCTATAGCGTTCTGGGCAATGTAGTTCCGTAGCACCACGCGAGGGTTGGTGCTGTCCATCACCCTCACCCTCTCCTCCTGCACAGCCTGCACATCAGTGTTGCCCTCAAGTTCCTGAGCCAGACGCTTCCTGTAGTGGTGATACCAAAGAACACTCATAAGAACAGCAACGGAACACCCAATGACCCATTTCCTGTTTTTAATTGTCACTCCCTGACAACTTTATCACTGACAGCTCCACCTCTTATCCGGCTCATGCAGTTTAACCGCCTCATGTTCATTTTAAAATACTGCTGTTGGGTTTTTTTTTCCATGACTGCCTCCAGACAGTCCACAGCCCAATCATTGGGTCTTGCAGCCCTCCCCCACCACCACATCCCACCTATATCGTGTGATCCAGCTGGTCCACTCTTCAGTTTGTTTGGTTTTGATTTCTTCCTCGTTGGTCTCCATCAGTTCCTTCAGTTTGTTGAGTCGGCTGAGCTGCCTCGCTATTGTCATCCTGTCAGAGATCATCTGGAACAGCGCTGGGTTACTTTGTGCCATAGAAAGCAGCATCGCCAACTCCCTGCAAATAGCAGGCACAACATGCATATAACAACTCAGTTTAATGGTTTCACCGCTATCTACACAAAGTATTGACTTTATATGCAATTGCATAACGAGAAAAGCTCAACTCACGTCTGGTATGACCATTGTGTATCTCATATCTACGTTTAGCAAAAGTTCCGCGCCTCTTGAGTTACTTCCGTGTCTGTTCAAACAACATGCCTGTCTGCTGGTTGCCCCTTTATGAATGTGTGTGGTCAGAAGTTCATGTAACTTACACTGAGTGATGAAAACTATTTTGAATTAAAGAGATGTTAAAATTAAATGATAGACATACGATAGCTAGTTCCTTTTTGGGATGTAAATAAAATGGGTTTGGACTATTTATCATTCAATCAATCAATAAATAAATGAATGAAATATTATTTTGTGATTGGATGGTCGAGGGCATATAGGCTTTCCGCTCGCACGACATGTGACAAGACTAAAAATAGATTAGCTTTAGGGCACTGTGTTTGCTGTCATGTCTTATTTTGCAGCTCCGATCAATGACGTCATTGATAGATTGTGCAAATTATGAGAAATCATGACATTTCAGACCATTGGCAATTATGCAGAAAATGTAAAATATCGCCCAATTTCGATCCAGTTTTTATCAGATAGGGGTAAAGGAATTTTGTTTTGTTTTTTTTAAACCTTCAGGCTGTCAAAAAAAAAAAAACATATGGAGCGTTTGTTTCATCCAAAACCACACCAGTAATGTAACTTCACTCTTAATCAGTGATTAGCAGTATTCAGATTCAAATTCTTTAAAAAAACAATCCTAAACTCAAATTTATACTACAAATGCTTTTGTTAAATGTTCAAACTGCAGTGGCCTAAGTAGCCCACCGTGGGTCCATGGTGGGTTTATTGGCAGCTTTGAGCTCCTCCAAAGAGGCACACTGCTCCAACAGGAGGTTTGCAGCGTCTCTGACAAGCTCCTCTTCCGTCTCACTTTCTCCCTCCGAGGGACAGGAGATGTGACTTAGACTGCGGAACGTGTTGGTGAAGTCAGCCCCTGCACGGTAACAGACCACAAGTGAAAAAGACAAAATAAAAGTAAATAACATCATATATTTGGTTTCTTCTTGACCACTCTGTGATTGGTGATGAGTCACTGGATAGGAGTGTAAGATTTTTTTTCAGTTTTCACATATCAATATGAAAAGAGAAGAAAGTAGACTATAACATTAAAAAGACAAAGGTGGTCACCCTTGTTGAAGATCTGTCTTTCAACTGAGTCTTACTGTAGTGTAAAGGCAGATTTGTTTTTTTCCAGTAATGGAAAAGGGAAAGCAAACGAACACTCCAGTCTCACCTGTATTGTGCATGGTTTGCAGCAGCTCTGTGATGAGGATCTCGTCCTCCGGTTCCTGTTTTTTCAATAAACCCAGCTTCCTCCTCATATTATCAAGGTAGCAGCTGTTATACAAATCCAAATATTCCTCCATAACAGCCTTTGCCCGATCAGGGGGAAGCTCTGGATCCAGGGCCTCTGCTAACTTGACAAGATTCCATCGGCAAATAGCGGGCTGAGCCTGATACGAGTAACGTCCAGAGTTGTCTGAAGCGTTGCAAATGAACTCTGGATCAAACCTGCGTGGAATTAAACATGAATGAAGAAGGAGAAAATACAGACCTTGTGCATGTGCACAGTATATACCAGTGTAATGGATGGATGAACAATTTACAGTGGAGTTGAATTTTTCCCCACCATGCAAGACCAATAATGTTTTCAAACAACAGCTATTTCATTACAATCCCACCTATCCATGAAGCCATAGGGACCATAGTCCAGAGTGAGGCCCAGTATACTCATGTTGTCTGTGTTCAGGACACCATGACAAAATCCAACACATTGCCACTGAGCCACCAGTCGAGCCGTCCGGCGCATCACCTTTAAACAAGAAGTCGTGAAAAGTGAAAGTGGGAAGAAATGTTCTTTTTCTGACATGAATAAAAACATGTTAAAAATAAATAATCGAATCCTTTTTAGTCTTTTATTAAGTCAAAAGACCGCATTTTGGGGAACTTAATCATCTTTTTATGATAGTCTGCATTGTATGCATAAAAGTGTTTCGACCTCTCTCCAAATGCAGTAGTCTAATTTGGTGTTACAATTTGCTTGTTTTACCTCACAGTTATTGTTGTTTGTAAATGCCAAAAGGTGAGTTAATACCGTTTGTGTAAAGTACTAGTGGGCATATTTGTTTGCCCATGTGTGATGTCACAGCAGTTTGTTCTCGTGTGTTATTTAGGCTAATAATATTGATGAGCCTCGTGTTGGTGGTTCGTTTGTGTTTAATAGTTTAGCTGGTGAATACAGTCGCTTAAGTAACATGGGTTCAGGATTGTGTACATGCTAGAAGCATGGTGTTGATGCTTTACGAACCTCTTTGTTTTATGTGCTGCGTAAGCATCGTGCTGCGTAAGCATCAAATGACATCTGCAGACAGTTAGAAATCGGATGTGGAGCAATGTCAGCTATTCGCAGATATTCACTAAGTGAGGTGGGGTTCAGTCCCTATCCCTTGTGAATAGCTGGGCTTCGCTGGAATGGACGGAAAGAGTTTTGAATTTATTTAAATCGAAGCTTTTTTTCATTTTATTATGAAGCTAGAATGCCAGAATACTTTCTGATACCAATGCAAGGTTATTGATTATTATTCTAATTTCAAACGTGATTACGAATATAATTTGCCAATTTTGCAGCTAATACGATGACATGGCCATGACAGAACAGAATATAACAGTGTTGTTAAGTCTTACTTGTACTAGAAAACACATATCTAAATAACATTTCTTTGGATTGAGAGTTTTGAAGTTTATGTCATAATTTTTAATGACTCTTATATAGTAATGTAAATAAATAAAATAAAGCCGAAAGGAAAAAAAGAAGAAGATATAATAATGTGTACATATTATGTTTACATGAAGCAACGTTACTTTGAATATTTTCAAGAGCCCTCATCTAAAGTGAAGAGAGGAAGGACACAGTGACTCAGCTCATGCGGTCACCAAGTCATTTATTACAGCTTAACACAATTAAGAGGATCAAAATGGTCTTGACTTCAGTCTGTGACGTCAAGTCTTAAATTAACCACAGGTCACAACCCTGCCAAGGTTACACAGACATCTTCTAAAAGTCACTTGGGAGATACGCGTGTAATAAAGTGCTTCAACCTCTCTGAAGAAAGACACATTCCTCTCCACGCGATCTGGGTACTGCTGCTGGATCTCTGGGTAGAATGTTTCAATGACATAGTCCAGCATCTGTCCTCGGAGCTCATCATATCCATAGCTGGGACCCTGACGACCTGAGAACTCATCTGCCTGCTTAAATATCTCAAAAGAACCAAACCTGGTGAGAAAGCGGACAACAGCAAATATCAAATATAGGAATCACAAGAACACATCATACTTTCATCGGCATAAACTACTCACCTTAAAAAGGTTGGTGCGATTCTGAGGACCACCGAGCATCTCTCATGTTGAGGGTGTCCGCTGTAGTAGACATCCCTTACGACTTTGCTGTCTGATGTTACAACAGAGCCTGCTCTTGTAGTGGGCACGTGCAGGAAGTACATAGCCTCACTGCAAAGGAACTCCCTTATGCTAGAGCGCAGCACCTTACGCCCATCGGCTTGTCTATTGAGAGAGAGCCACAGTACATCAGGCAGCTGTATTTGCTCAATGTCTCATGTTAATTGGAATCACTTACAATGTTTTTCAGTATACGTGTATGCATGTGTATAAATAAATGTGTGTGTGTGTGTGTGTGTGTGTGTGTGTGTGTGTGTGTGTGTGTGTGTGTGTGTGTGTTGCCTACAAACTGTTCTATTGGATGGCAAGGCGCATTTAAGGTTCCATCTGATTGGTCAAAATCAGATAAAAGCATCCATCGATCCAAGTACTGTATTAAATAATCGCAGGTCTTTACGATGCGCAGATTGCAAGTGCCATTCTAACCAATGCTTGTTGTTCTGATTTGCTGAAGAGAAAGAGAAAGCTTTTATATGTTTCTAATATGATTTAGCAGCGTTTTGTTGCTATGAGTGACACTCAGTTATGGCTGAAAACATTGAAAAAACAGGGACTCAAAATTAGCTTGATGACGCCATTTCTGTTGAGTCATGTAGCTCGAGTTTATTTCTCTTTCTCAAGTCTAGATGTATGAGCTTTTCGTAACGATTGCATGATAAGCGGTTCAGACAATGGATGGATGTTGAGAGACAACATCAGAGCTTGAAGTACAACGACTTAAAATGTGCCTTATCTAATAATTTGGCCATCAAGAGGGACACCTAACAAAAATACTCAGTGGGTCTTTATTATTTTAAACGTTATTTAGGAATCATTTTTACTGCAGCTACTGTTACATTTTGACTCACTCCGGACAATTATTTTTCCTCATCCAATTTCATAACAGATGGAAACTGGTCTCCACTTCTGGATTAACCCAAACATACCTGTAGTGTGCAGGTTTAAATCACAAATTAAAATTTTGGGAGCAGTGTCAATCAAAATGTATCATTATTATCATTGGGAATGCACAATATCTCAGTTGCACGTTTGTGAAATGATAGGGATCCTGTTAAATGGTACAGAATCTACAGATGTTTAAAAAAAACACCACCACCACAACACGTTAGTACCTTGAATAGGGGGTAAGTCCGGCTCCTTTCACCTGAATCTCCCATCGGCCACTTGGGTTTTCGTGCAATATGTTGGGGTCCTGATTAGGTGGCACTCTTACCTCCCCCAGGTAACAGGCCGCCCCATCACCCAGCTGACCAGCGAAATGGCCGAACTGGTGGCCGCAATAACAATGAGCTGCGGGCTCGGATCCAGGCATTACTTTGGAGCCACTCAGATAGTCTGGCGCAAGTGGGTCCTCCGTGACCTCATCCCCGTTGAGCCCGAGCAGGGCCAAAGCTTCCTGGGACACCGCCACCAACCGAGGATTGGTCAGTGGCTGCGGCTGGACTCTGGAGAAACACGCTCCTTTCACCTGTCGCACCCCGGGCTCCTCGGAGCGGTCCAAAGGAAGTTTCTTCAGGGCGACGTTTTCAAAGTTGAGTCGCTCCAGCGGTGAACGCGCCATGGCCAGACCCATTTTGTCCATCCCGACCGAGTTTCGGAATCGAAACACACCTGGGCAAAAAAGACGGGGCGTACCTGATCTCAGTCGATGTACGACAAGAGCCATCAAACTAAGATCACGCCCATCTGCCTGCAGTTTGGCTGGCGCAGTTAGTAGAAAAGTTTCGTCGTCATGCTTTCATAACCCGGAAGTAACAGCGGATGTTTGTGTTCAGGTGGTGTTGCATTATTATTCATCCCACCAGAAAATGTAAAAAAACGACGGAATGAAATGCATGTTAGTAAAGTACTGTACTTTTATTCCGTATTTGAAATCACGGTCGTGCGTAGACGTTTACTAGTACGTAGACTAACCTTAGGCGAGTGAGAGAGACGCATTTTTTGTTTTGTGAACGACATAAGTTGAAAGACAATGTGACGTCTGTCGTTGAGTGTTCCTATTTCAAAGTCTAATTACGTTAGACAAAGGGCTAACTTTTCTTGCAAAAGCAACATTAACATATTGGAAGTGATGTGTGCAGGAAATTTTGAACAGTTTCAAACACCAGTAATGTATGACAACAAAACCAAACACATTCATCGTGATCTAAAATTTCATAAAAACCTGACATTTAGCTCGATGAAATTTATGGCTATCTTTGAGTAATTGAGCACATGAGACCGCCTTTATTGCGACCTTATTTTTAATAATAACGTAGGCGATTTATACTTTTCACGTTTAACTATTTCAGATTTTCCGACATGTCTACTTTTGAATTAACCTGCCTGCTTATCCTACATGATGGATAGCATTCCCATCAAACCGAACACTTTCTTTTCAAATGTCATTTCATACAAATTACAGTGGTTGAGAGGGCAAAAAAAATAATAATCGTGCAAGCCATTTCCTCTTATCTCAATTGTTCACAGGTAATAAACCTGTGTATAAACCTGTTAAAATTTAACAGAATAAGTCGGCGAGCACATATTTTGTTCAACTAAACTGGGCCAGATTTCACGCTGAGTAAATAAGTAACTGTGTTAAGAAAATGTGCTCATTCAGTATTCATACATTTTGTGACGTTTTTGTTCGGTGTTGTGCCATGAGACTTTTTAAATGTAAAATGTGTGCCTTGGCTCAATAAAGGTTGGCAAACACTGCTACGTAGAGCGTTACTTTCATTCAGTATCTAAAGCAAATATTGCTGTCGTTACATTTTTATTTGGAAACAGAAATCTGATTTAGACTTAACATTTGGTTTCCAGTGAGTGCACACTGGGGAATAAAAGCAGACATTTTCTCAGTACAATAACACAATTACAGTGTAGCATTTAGAGAGAGGATTTTATGTAAACATGAATTGAAGGACAATGACGCTTTTAGTGACACCATTTCAAGGTCCAATGGCATTTGACAAAGGGGCATTGTTTGCGCTTAATCAACAAAGGATAATTTTGCAAATTAACAAGGGAGGCGCATTTTGTCTGTCAATGCAGGTTTACAGCTGTGAGACCATGAAATTATCTAGACTTCTAGTTAAATGTGGCATCACCTGCATTATGAATGCTCTTCGATGTTGGTTCAAAGAGAATCAATACTGTATCATGATACGGAGAAATGAAATTCTCAAAGGCAGAACAGATATGGCAGCCAGAGTATCCAAGTTTGCAGTCTAGTGAGAAGCGTTTCCAAAGTACTGACGATTTTACACATTTAAAGACAATTATTATAGCTGGAAGGGGGTATGCAGTACTGCAGTACAAAGAGCTGGTGAAGTGAATGTTCGATGCTGTCATGTGCAGGCTTTACGGATGATTTCCTACACACAAAATCAATTTCCTGAATGAACCTTAAACAAGGGATTGAGGCTCAACTGATTCATGACAAACTCTGGACAAGTTATATTAACAGTGCTGTAGGTTTGTGAGGGGGGCAATGATCAGTATTATTGTTCATACTTTACTCACCCTGAGAAACATAAGCCTTGCATGCAATGAGTCTCACATGAATCTAGGTGCCGTGGTACTGATTCTATTGAAATCAATGTATCACACATTGAAAAGTCAACATTTAAAATAACTACATATAAAATATACCTTGAGAAGTTTCTAAATTTGTACTGACCTCTGGGGGTCATAAAGTACAGTATGCCAAAAATGCATTCACACTTGCTGATGCATTGAGAGGCACTTGTTAAGCATAGGCAGGTCTGTGAACATGGAAAACTTTTTTTTTCACCAACTTAAGTCTACAAATACATGCCAAGTAAATAATCAAGTTGGTAAGAATTTAATGACAACTCACTGTACCAATAATGTAAAAACAAGTTGCAAAAAAAAAAAAAGGTCATTTTCATTTTGCCATTTGGTATTAGCCTTTTTTTTCCCAATGCATTGCATATAAAATGATTGCCAACCAAAAACTGGCACTAGAATGGAGAGACGAAAGAGGAGAAACTTGTATGAAAACATTGCCGGGGGATTTGGCTGAAGATGATTTCTTGTGGATTTGACGAACCATAAAATTAAATTTTCCTCCTAATTTTAAATGTTCCTAGTTTTAGAAATGAATAAACCTTGAAGCATCATAAACACTGTCTTTTTTTAAACCTTAGAGAATAAAGCCTGTTCCACAAATGCCAAAACAATCATGTGTGTGTTGGTTTCTTTGGCAGTAAGGCTGTACCATGTCCGTTGGGGCACCACAGCGAGATGTGGCGCTGTGGTGCCCCCCTGAGGTCTTTGTTGGCTGAGCAACCTTGCCTTTTAGCCAAACATCCTCTTAAGGCCACTGGTAAAAGATGCGCTGTTTTCATGAAGCAACTGCTGTGTCAGTCCGTGATGGCTTTCAGCTGACCTGTGAGGTCAAGCAGGAGATGGTCGTAGATTGTCCACAACTGATCGGACAGCAGATGAAGACAACAGGGCTCGAACTAAACTCCCTCCAGCACGGTAGCAGACATACCCCAACATCCCGATCATGACACCTTTAACTACAGTGTGCAAAACCCAACCAAATTGAGATGGGGGTGCAACACTGCAGAAGAAAAAGAGACAGACAGAAGTGATTTTTTTGGGGTATTCTAATAGTTTTTTTCTAACATAGCATATTTCGGTGGGCAGGGTGGTCTTGTTCGGTTTTATTGTTTTGAACTTTGTTTCTTGTAAAGCTGTTTGAGTTGGATAAGGTGCAATACAGATGAAGCTGATTTGAAATTGAAATGAAGGTGAGGAGGCCAGGGGTGTTCTGCCTCTTCTGACTGTGAGTCGCATGCTGTTGCTTCTTTTGTAGTTGTGCCATGCTTCACGTAAAATAAACTGTTAATTCAAGAAACTTTGTTGGCAGCGCAGACATATGACTGCCTGGCTCCATTTAATTGGTGAAAAGGAATCAAAGTCGCCAGTGGTTACATTGGAGTGCTGAGACAGTCATGTGACAGTTCCAAAGACTTAGGTCTTTCTCACAAACTTAAACAAATACATTATGCAAGCAATAATAGATAGATGCAAAACACTGTGGCATCGCACTGAGCGACAAAGGCTTGCGGGTGTTTGTGCACAGCCCGAATGTTGGTTTTTTGTTCACGGTTCGTTTGAAAACAGTTTTAACGGTTGCCAACTGTTTTTCTTGTTGCAAAGAAATTTTGAACATGTTCGTACTTCAATGGCAACAAGGAAAATGGTTTGCGACAACTCTTTAAAACCTTGAACAAACCATGACTAAAAGGCAAAATTCGTTATGTGTGTAAAACACTCTCTAACCGGGCTTAAAAGACGCAGGCCTAAAGCTAGCGAGCGGAATGTAGGTCAACGTCATGTAGTCGATGTATCATTTATTTTTTTATGAAAATACTCAAAAAAAAAAAAAAAAAAAAAAAAAAACTCTGACAAGTCCAATTTATCCCTAAAGTTAATTAAGTAAATGTAACAGAGTAAATATGGTGATTACTACCCACCTCTGCTATTACTGAATGAAAAGACAAACATACCTCATAATTTCGCTGATGTTGAGCTGCTTATCCCAGTTTCTTTCAATGCCAGGCACATGACCCATTCCGACAACTCCCACCACAACAGCAGGCACTTCTACAAGAATGTACAAGAGATGTACATTTGATGATGAGGTAATTCCCAGAGCAAATGTAGATGTAAACTAAAACACTGGAAGCCCCAGCCCTTCTGTTTGAAAAAAAAAGTGTAGTTTTCTTTGTCGATATCAGCCATAAAAGTTACAAATGCTTCATCAGAATTAGAGGTGCTGTGAAAGGGCAGAGAATCCAGGCACCATCAAATATGTACCCCCGCTGTCACACATACTGCGCGCGCGCGCACACACACACACACACACACACACACACACACACACACACACACACACACACACACACACCTTCATTTAAAGCTCAATTCTAGAAGACAGGTAAGGTAACTTACTCAAACGTATGGGCGCTTCAAGTATTAGTTATGATTTTGAAACATATCGGGCCGTAACTTTCAACTTTCATTCAAGAAGTGTCAATCGTACCTATCATCCGCAGCTATTTTCATGGGTATACGTCACTCACCTCGGTCTCTCATAATAATACATTTTTTTTAGAAGGATATATATTCACAGAAACTATCATGGTAAAACTACCATGATAAACACAATAATATAGTTGATGTTTTTCTAAACTTCTGGCATTATGATAGAGCATCTTAATTAAATCAGGTATATCTTTTTTAAGAGAAATTAACTCTTTATCCTCAAGAATATTGAAATGTGAAACCAAGACAATATATTGTGTTAATAAAAAATACAAATAAAACAGACACAACTTCTGTTCAATAAAATTGCACTGAAGCAAATATGAACCATTTGACACAATGGAATCCACCTTATTCCTGATGGCTCTCATGGAGAAAAAACTGTGGGAGTGACTTCCTGTCAGACACCAGAAGTAGCAATGAGCCATTCCTTACAATGGCTTTCATTTCTTTTGTTTCCTTTTCTAAACGACCCATAAGCCCCCGTAGCATTTTAAATTGTCTTGCAGAGCTTGCAAACCCTTTGAGCACCGTCCGCTCCAAAGGTCTCTGCCTGCCCGTGTAGCAACCGCTGACAGGAAAGCTGTTAACGCGCACTCATTCTCATGACACAATGTATCACCTACTCTGGGCATTAGGGGGAGCCTCCACACAGCGTGTAGCTTGGCGCAGTGTGTGCGTAAGGTAGATGTCCCTCTCAGCCACGATGGTTTGGTGAAGAGCCGGAAACTCTCCGATCATCTCTGACATGGTCTGTTCCAGCAGGTCCTTCTGTTTACATTTCTCTACATCCTCTTTGCTGAAATTTGGCAAAAAGTGCAGCATGAGGAATTCAGTGTCACGTACAGTACTAATGATAGTTTTCTTGCTCATCTACGGCAGTGGTTCACTGACAAAAAGAAATAGGGAACTTGACGAAGCCAGCAGGGCTTGATATAATCTCAACAAGCTTTCAAAACTTGTTTAGTTTATTCACACATTTAAAGTGTATTTAACCACTTCTACTATAATAGCTTTGTTGCAGGGGATATACAGGTTTTTCACAGCACTGTAACTAGAAAAGGATGAAATACATTAAGAGGTATGGCTGTTGAAATTTAAAAAAATGAAATTATAAAAAAAAAAAAACAAAACAATAAAAGAACAAATAATTTATCCTTGTTATTTCTAAATTTAAAAAATGTGCACGGCACCTGATTGGGTCTGAAAGGAAGCAAAGACCCCAAGCAAGACGGGCCTTTTGCCACAGGCTGAGAGCAGCGATGGCCCTCTTCAACGTCACAGGAATGGGCCTGTCTCCAAGATGAAATTTACAGAATGGCACATGTCCAGCCTGTTTACAAAAAAAAAAAAAAAAAAAAAAACACAAA